TATTGTCTTAATGTGAAATGTCATGTCAAATTGTTCTTAGATACACACCACTAATCAACAGCCACACACTTTAATTTTCTTCATGTTTTGACTATTGTTATGGTCAGCTGCAAGCTGGCATATCAGGTGACGTCACGGTTTGACGTGCCTGGGTAGAATGGGCTAGCCCAACCAAGGGATTAATATTGTATAGGTTTTTTGGTTCAGGGTCTTTCATCTTCCAAGCTGCCTGCGCGCAGGTTTGGTGGTGGGAGAGATCTGGACGTGTAATGTTAATTTTACCTGTGAATAAACCAGTGCGGTTATTTTTTATAAAATCTAAAGTGGTCTACTTCGTCTTTGTGAGTTCCTGGTTTGAAAGAACCGGAAGAGCTTTGTAATAAAACAGAGCTTATACAGCTTTACGTCATGGTGTTATGCTCCAGCACAAGAAGCTGATTTACGACTGATAGAGAAACTGCTCAACGGCATGTTGTTGTTACCGCACTGAGTTCTGATAATAAAGCCGAGTTACTGAACAATCACCACTCGATCATTTTACAATACTGTTACAGCTAGCCGTCAGGATTAGAAACTGAGGACCCAGTAAGTGCAGAACCTGGACACAGACTTCAGATAAAAAGGATTTTTAATCAGGGATGTAACAGAGGGTGTAAGAAGTAGTGTGGATGCAACGGCGGGTTACGGGTGACTGGGAGCTGTGTTGACTGGACCACTAGGTGAGCAACCCGGGGTGAAACGAGTAGAGGCAACCACTACATTGAAAACAGAGGAGGAAAGTGAGAAGACTAAGCAGATCAATAATGATTATGTGGGAAACAATGAAGGGGACCTGGGTATGAAGAATGATGCTGGGCTGGGAGACAGGAGGTGGCTGCTGGCTGGTGCGTGGATCCGTTTGGTAGGGGGGAGCTGTGGCTCACAGCTGATGAGATTGCAGCCCAGCTCTATGCCAGTGTGGAAGGGGTGTCTGAGAAGCTGAGTCACCATGGATGGTGCGTACCGTCCCACAGGGTAATCCTTAAACAAAAGCTCAGACTTGCGAGGAGACAGCACGGTGCGAAAAAGCAAACAAAAACCAAGCTCCCCGAAACAAAAGTTCATACAAAAAAACTCAAGGGGACTTCCTAAGGGAGCAAGCAAAAAAAAAAGGGTTCACACTACAGTTCAGAATTTAGCTTAGTTCAGTTCACAGTTCAGTTTAGTGCAGTTCAGACAAGTGCAAGAAAAAACAAACAGGGATTATCAAGGCAAAAAGGAAACACAGGTTAGAGATCATCTGACGACGACGACGACACACCAACGCTCACCTTAAGTACTGCTCCGCTGATTGGGAGCAGGTGTGCCTCCCCACCGGGAGTGCGCTCCAGCATCTGTCAGGGTGGAGCTGTTGATGGAACCAGGGCAGGCGGACGAGGTGCTGTTAGCGCACTCATCCATGGCCATAACAAATATGTAGCTATAAGGTAAATAGATTTCCTAGGAAAATAGGTTTAGTTTACTCTTTTTTAATGCTCAGGCTCAGAAAGTAACAGTGCAAAAGCTACATTACATACAAGAAAAAAACTCTATAAATGAAACAAAATCCCACCCACATCCTGTGGGACAGTAACTTGGCTGTTACATTGTGTCACATGTATAAACTGCCCTGTGCACAGCAGACTTGTAGCAACTTTAGTTTTACAGGAATGGTTTAACATTTTAATAAATCCAGAACATGGTGGAGAGAGAGAAGAGAAGACTGATTACACTTTCATACCTGTTTGTTGAATTTAAGGCTGTTTTATGGGGCATTACATGCCAGACTTGGTTTGCAGGTTTTTAGTTTTTGTCTGGACTATGCAAACAAAATACAGTATAATGTGATAACTGTGTTGAGCTTTAGATGTGCAGGTAAGAGGATTATGTTGTTTTTTGACTGAGTCAGGTTACTTGTTTTCCTGTTTCCACCAAATTTTCCACCTCAGCCAAGAGTAAAAAATTGATACTGATATTCTGACCTTTAATTTTATATTTTGATGTTTATGTTAATGTGCAAATTGAAAGTACACATATGGTGGATGGAAACCTGTATCACTACAAGTGATCCTCTCTGATTACACACAGATTGATATATGTAGATGTTGACTGTTGTGGCTTTGAATAAATGTTTAGAGGAAAGAAGGTGCTAAAAGTATAAAACATCTGGCTTCTGGGGACCCTGGCCCTTTGTTTCTGTGGTCCGCATAAGTGAGATCTGCACTCGGATTCTCTTATAGTTTGGTAATCAGCCTTATGTACTGCCATGAAACACTGGCAGCAGACAATAGTTTCACTGGGGTTATTTATATGTTGCTTGGAGCTATTTTTGATGTGCTTAAAGGTCCTCTTCTCACACTTGACAAACACACAGAAAGAGACAGAGACTGAGGCAGGAGCCCTTTTATTAGCCCCTTCACCGGGGCTTTAATGTGACATTTATCAGCCTTCCTCGCCCTTCATTACTTCCATCAGTAAAGGTTAGGATTGTGTATGTGGGCCCTCTCGGGTGTCTGGGCCCCTCACCCTGTTTAAACATCTGCTACCCACCACCACAGGGGAATGTACTTCATTACTCATCCATTCATATGGAATAAGATCCTAGACTTTATTCATTAGACAAAGAGAAAACAGGGAAGGTGGGGATTTTTCAGGGGAGCTGAAGTATAAAAATCTCTGCTGGCTTTTTCTGAGGTACAGTGAAAGGCTGCTACTTGGATAACAGGGTGATGGTGGAGGGGCGTCGATGGAGGCAGAACTTCCTGTCTGTCTCTCTGCATCCCAGTGCATTGAGAAATAACTGAAAGCGAGCATTCATTCAAATACCTTGACTGGCGTTGCTGAAGCTTTGAGGCTCAGTGGTGATTCAGCTGCAAAGCGGAACCACGGACAGGAAAGGGGAAAGAAACAAAGAAAGGAAAGAAGAAAAGGAAAGACAGAGTGACAGACAGGGGACGTCAATGTATTTCGCGAATGCGTCGAGCGCACTGAACCTATCCAGGGGTGTAGCCGCGGTACTTCTCGTGCGCCTTCGCGCAGAGGGTGTGTGTGGCTGAGCGAGTGTGTACGAGAGGTGGTGTAAGATCAGCCGGTGTGGCCGACCAGTCAGAACGATGCTGGAGGGCAATGTCTGCAGACAGAGAAGATGAGATTTGTCGAAAGGCGCTCGAGCTGCTCTCCGACCTGTGCTCCAAGGGGGAGGTGCAGGACGACAACTGCCTGGATTTCATTTACTACTTCAGGGATCTGGCCAGACCGCGTTACACGGACTCAGGTCAGGATCCACAGTATCTTTATGAAAGCTTAAAGTAGCCTGGATTTTTAATGTAAGATCCGTGCTAGTATGCTTACATTGATGCATGAAATGTGTAATAAGCTCCGGGGGCTGATTACAACGATTATTAAAATATTATTTAATAAAAGCGCTGATCAGAGTTTAACCCGCAAACTGACACAGCAGCTGTGGGGTAAACGAAAAACAGTTATTTTAAACTTTATAAACAGGGGTTAAAGTGAAATGTAAAGAAATGGCATTTAATGCGATGCGTTGATGGCCTATTTGGTCTTTATGCGCAGTCTAGGAAAATGGAAATATACATTTTAAACAGTCTTTATTGGAATGCGGGTTGTGCATACAATAAATGATGATTTTCCTTTTCTCTTATAGCTGCCAGTCTAATAAGTGCACAGGCAGACACTTCACTGTGTTTCACTACAAATACCAGAAGAGTATGAACTGTGAACTATGAACTGTGAACTTGTTTCTTGGATCGATCAGTGCCAGCACAATCCACAAAACATTCGGGTCTGTATGAGTGTGTTGGATTGGTTTCTCTTTTATCCTGGTGGGCTGGAGAGAGAGAGCGTGCTCGCGAGAGAGAACAGCCCCACCCGATAGTCCCCGTGGCCCTCAGCGCTTTGCAGACATGGCTCTAGAAAAAACAAGGAAGCACCAGTTATCTAAGGCAGTTATTATAGACTCCCAGACTTGAATTAGTTTCAGTATTAGCGGTAGAGACACTACTTTGACCAATCAAAGAAGAGTTTGCTGAAAGAAACTGGTCTAAAAATCCATTGGACACTGAAACTTTGAAATAGTCCCACTTACACTGTAAAATAATACATTTTAGATGGCATAGAAATTTCACTGCATATATCTCAAGGAAAACAGTAGGAATTCTACAGCATCCCTCTATTATAAATAAAACTGTACTGGTGTGCATGCATGTGGATGTTTGGCTTTGATTGTGATGGTTTAATAGGATTGCATGAGAGCCACAGTTTTCCCTTGATTTTACCGGCGCCTAGAAATAACCTGATAAGGTCAGTATATCATTTGACTACAGCGCCACATACAAACAGCAGAAACATGCAGAGACTACAGCCATCAAAAAGTTCTGTGTGGAACTTCTTCAAGAAAATAAAAATAAGGTGTAAGTTAAGTTAAATTAGCATATCATAAATTGACAACAAGTCTGCACAGCTGTTTGAAGAGGTGTCCAGCAGAAAGTGGGGCTCAGCCGCAGATCAACAGTCAGTGGCTATAGCTGAAGAAGGAAGTTTTTGACATGCAGAGCAAATAGCAGCCCTCATCACAAAGATGATCGAAATGACATACTACCCATTAGCTTCGTCAAGGGGGAGGGTTTTTAATGTTTTGATGGCATTTGTTCAGGTGTGTGGGATGATAATGAATGTGAGCTACACAGTTTGAAAAGCACTGGAAAGGTGTCTTTGACGATGGATGCATAGACAGCATTTAGAACTGGGGTATGCAATTGTATTACATAAGCAACTGAAAACTACAGAGTGCTGTTCTTCAGACTAAAGCAATGCCAGCTTGAAATGCACAGCATGTAAAATGTTACATTATAATTGTCATACAGTAACTTCAGAAAGTATTGACCCCTTCATTTTTTGCACAATGATGTAGTGAATCTACTGTAGTTTCAGATGGATGTAATCACAATTTGTGCCCATCAGTCCATACTCAGTGGTGATTGTGGTTCAGTGGGTAGAGCAGTCGTCTCCCGGTCGGAGGTTCGAATCTCGGTGCCTGCAGTTCATGTGTTGAAGTGTCCTTGAGCACTGAACCCCCAACTTACCCCCAGTGGTTAGAGCCATCAGTTGATGCCGCAGATGGCTGCCTTGATTCTGTACCGGAAACAAATTCCATGTGTGTAACAAATAAAGGTGATTATCCTTATCCATAATGACAAAGTAAAAACCATGTTTTGCAAAATTATTAAAAAATACTTTCTTTCACAAAGGGATTCAGACCCTTTGCTATTACACTAAAGAATCCTATTTGCTTTAGTTTTCCATTAGCTGTGTGTAGAACCTCAGTGGCGTTCTCCTGTGGCAAACTGAATTATCAGTTATAGTTTATCATATAACCCTTTTCTTTTTTACTGGAGAAAGTGCTTTACAGATGCTGCTACCCATTCACACAGCAGCCACGCAGGACTGTGGGAGGAAGCCAGAGTCACTAGGAGCAATGTGGAGTTCAGTGTCTAGCCAGGGGCACTTTGACATGTTGACTGGAGAGACTGGGGATCGAACCACCAACCCTGCTAGAAGTTGAATTGCTCTACTCATCCACAGCTGCCCCACTTTTCACAGTACTGGTTTGGAAAAGAGGTGACATGGTGGTGTGGTGGTCAAGCCTTTCTGTGCAGAGTTTGCATGTTCTCTCTGTGCCTGTGTGGGTTCTCTCCGGGTACTCTGGTTTCCTCCCACAGTCCAAAGACATGCAGCAAATTGCTCATAGGAGTGAGTGTGCGTGTATGTGGTTGTTTGTCAGTCCTGTGTTAGATTGGTGTACCCCGCCTCTCACTCAGTCTTAGCTGAGATCAGCTCCAGCTGTAACCATCAACAGGACAAGTGGTATACTGTAGATAATGGATGGATGTGTAGTCTATCCTATCACTCACCCAAATCACAGCAAGAATTCATGT